GTGGTTCCTGGGAATTAGCATAATGAATGCTCTCCTAAGTGTTAGATCTGTAGTTCTTTCTGTTGTTGTTGTTTGTTTTTTGCTTTTTGGGTCACACCTGGCAATGCACAGGGGTTACTCGGTGGCTCTGCGCTCAGGAATTACTCCTAGGTGGTGCTCGGGGGACCATATGGGATGCTGGGAATCGCTGGGAATCAAGCCCGGTTTGGCTGCATGCAAGGCAAATTCCCTACCTGCTGTATTATCTCTCCAGTCCTAGTTATTTTTTTTTTATTGAGCATAGCCAGTTCTCTAAATTAAGTCCTTCCATGTGTTATTATCTCATTTAATCCCCACCATCTTGGACCTATGTGTTATCACCCCCCAGTTTGCATAACTTGTATCCCAAGGGCACACAGCAGAGCTGGGGTATGAACCCAGGTTCCCTCCACCCTTCTTCCCCCAGGGGACTCTTTCTGCCCATGGCCTAGCTGCGTTCACTGATTTACTTGGCTCTAGGCTCCTCTTACCTGGTGTGATCTGGGCTTCTGGGCTGTGGAATTCTGGGAGAGGGTCGGTTGGCGGGGGGGGGGGAAACCTTGGCTACCCCCTTCCCGCCCACCTGCCCACTTGGGTGCTGGCTGTGCCATGGTCAGACAGTGACACTGGATGTCAGCTTCCCCCAACCCCAAATCTGGTTGGCCTTGTGGGAAACATCTGTGGTTACCTAGCCAGCTTTGAAACCAGCTTGGCTATCAAGTTGGGATATTTATAATTATAAACTGACTTTAGCACAGTCTGGGCAGCTGATCTTTAAAGAATTCCTCAGGGCTGAGTTTGAGGAAGAAGCTGGAGCCAAGAATCAAGGAATTTACCACTTGCTGTCAGCACAGGCAGGGTTGGATAGAGAGATTTCCAACATTCTGTTTGGTTCTGTTTGGGGCAGGGGGCAGGGAGAGGAAATTCTAGGACCGTCTCTTGGTAGGCTAAAAGGGCTGCTTTATCCATAAGGTCTGAGATAGGAATAAATGGGGGTGATGGCTTGCCCTGATGCTCCCAGCGAGCGGCTGAGTCCAAGAGAAGGTCCACCCCCAAAAACATGTCCTCTGCCCACCCTGCACCCCCACCACACCCCAGTGGTCTCCCTGAGCCCTCAACTACCTCATCACCGTTTGAGAATTAGCCTTATGGAATGGTTAGCCCCATCATGGGGAGGGTGAGAGGTGACAGGGGGACCGTAGTGGGGTGCTTGGGGCATTTTGGTGGTGTAGATGTTGTGACTTGAAGTCAAAGCATCCACCGTGGTTCTCCTATATAGCACTGATGTGGTTTTTAAAGAAAGAATCAAACACCACCCGTGGTATCCTGCAGAATCACTGAGGTTGTGACCTCACCGAGTCACACATTCTCACTACAGACACTCAAACTCCACAGAAGGCGAACCGGTTGAGGGCCAGGGGGTGAAGTACAGTGAGGATGACAGTGGTTTTGCACAGGACAACCCAGATTCCATGAGACCCGCCAGCAGTGACCCCTGAACACAGAGCCAGGAGTAAGATCTGAGCATCACTGGGTCTGGTCAGCTGCCAGCCCCACCCCAAAAGAAGTGTCTGCCCTGTAAAAGAAATGACGACCACACTGAAAGGAAAGGGGCAGGGCCCCCAAGACCTTCAAGTCGTCCCTGGTTCCTGGAGCCCAGAGGAACAGGTGTATGTGCAGGAGGTCATGTATGGGTGTGAGAGGAGAGAGGATTTTGCAGGTAGGAAATTCTAGGGCTGTACTGTGTTTTCTCTGTATCACAATTCCGCTGGAGGAAAACCAGGTCCAAGGAAAACATGTCTGGAAGGGGCCTGATGGGTCCTGGAGGGGAGAAGGATCTCAGAGGCATTGCCTGAAAGGAATCAAGGTTGGGATAACTTCAAACTCTGAGTGTGTGAGCTCGGCAGCCAGGCCCACCTGCAGCTCTGTCATTGAAACATCAATGACAACCAGGGGGATGTCGATGTGGAATAACAAATTTTAAATTAATTTAAAACTAAAATGGGGTAGAGATGCTTCCAGACCCAGCGCCAGGCTGAGTCACCCAGGACACCCCAGAGAGGGGCGGGTGAGTCCACCACCCACCCAAACAGAGCCCTGGCAGCCAAAAAACTCCACATACCACAATCACTGCCATGCTCACGGTTGGACTCTGTTACTCTGGTTGAGTCTCAAAACCCAAACAAAAACAAAAAGAAGGATCAGAGTGATAGTACAGCAGGTACTTCTGCTTTGCACGTGACCAACCCAGGTTTGATCCCCAACATCCCATATGGTCCTCCTGAGCACTGCCAGGAATAATTCCTGAGTACAGAGCCAGGAGTAACCCTTGAACATCGCCAGGTGTGACTCAAAAAATCAAAAATAGATAAAAAAGGAAAGAAAACAGAGACCAAAGAGATAATCCATTGGATAGGGCACTTGCCTTGCACACAACCCACCCTGTTTTTATTTTGGTACTGCATATGGTCCCCTGAGCTCTGCTAGGAGTGACCCCCTGAGCACAGAGCCAGGAGTAAGCCCTAAGCACTGCTGGGTGTGCCCCCCATCAAAAAAAAAGGGACCAGAAGGTGGGTGACCAACCTTCTAAGAGCTGCATTTCTCTTCACCGGAGATTCACAGTCATGAAGGCAGAGGAGGAAAGGGCAGGAAATGGGTCACAGGCAGCTCCAGTTTGGACATAGGCTGCCATGGGCTAAAGCCCTGCATGGCCACAGCCAGGATTCAGGCCTCCTGCCCCTTCCCCGTCCACATGGAAAAGGAGGTGGACGCTGGGGCGAGGAAACCAGTTCCTCCTGCTGGATGAAAGTAGCACCCACAGGAGCTGGAGCGATAGCACAGCAGGTAGGGCGTTTGCCTTGCACGCGGTCGACCCGGGTTCGATTCCCAGCATCCCCTATGGTCCCCTGAGCACCGCCAGGAGTAATTCCTGAGTGAAGAGCCAGGAGTAACCCCTGTGCATCGCCAGGTGTGACCCCAAAAAAAGCAAAAAAAAAGAAAGTAGCGCCCACAGGGTGCCCATTGTCCCCGGGGTTCCCTGAGCCCTGCTGAAACAGAGTGTGCCAGGAGAATGCAGCCTGCTCTCAGGTGACCTTCTTGAGGGCAGGAAGGGGGGGTCCTGTCCATGTGTGCATTCCAGCATGGATTTTTCTCCCCAAATTTTTAATTTTTATATTTATCTTGGTAGAAGGGCCACAACCGGCAGTGCTCAGGGCTGACTTCTGGCTCTGTGCTCAGGGATCAACCCTGACAGGGCTCGGGGGACCACACCAAGTGCCGGAATCAAACCCACCCGCTGCACTAGCGCTCTGACCCCTGGACTTCTCCGTTTAAAGTAATAATACCCGGGACCAAGGTTAGCTCCAACCTTAGCTCACTCCTAATCCTCGCTGTCAGATCTCTGCGGCTCCGTGTGCCCCTGGAACGAAGCCCTTCTCTGTTGTCTCGTGGTTTAGCTTAGCTGAGTTTTCCTGAGCTTGGAGTGACTCGGTATTTGCCCTTTGATTAGTTCTGCTTGGGACAAATCCCACTTTAGTTACCGTTCTAAGTGTGTTTCCCAGATCACAGTTTGGATTCGCTGATTCTACCTTTTCGAAAGCGTCTTCAGAGGCATGTATGCACCAGCAGTTACCACTCGGAATAAGTCTCCCAGGCCCAAAGGAAGGATGGAGGCTTTTAAGATAGAGACCCCGCGGCAGGGTGTGTAACCCCAGCCCACTACCCAGTCTGCCCAGGCACACAGGGCTGCAGCGCCCTCTGCTGGCCGCGGCTTGGAGCAGTCCCAGCTCAGCTCTCTTGCCCACGCTGGGCTGCTCCTGGATTGGGGTCTGTCTCCATCAGTCCCTGGAGAGAAGAAAGTCCCTCTTCCCGTCTGCAGAGAAGCCGAGGGGCGCCTGAAATGTGGGGTGAAGGCGAGTCTGAGACTAGGGGCGGGGAGATAGGAAGGAGCAGGGCAGGGGTTAGGGACGGGGCCTCGTCGGGCTTGGGTGGAGCAGAGGTTTGGGCAGTCAGCGGTCAGGGCTGGGAAGTAATGCCAGGAACAGGGCGGAAGTGGGCGACCAGGGTGGGGCGACACTTCGGGCCAGGTCAGGGTGTGGCTGGGACGGAAGGTGCAACAGCTGGGCAGGAACTGATGTCTGGGTGAGGTCCTGGGGGGGTGCGTGGGGAGTCCCCCAGCAGGGGCTTGAGGCGCAGGACTCCACTGGTGCTGGGCTCTGCAGGTTGGTGGGGATGGATTCCGCGCCGAGACCAGGCAGACCCCTGTGTTTCTTCCTGGCTCCCCAGGTCCCTCACTCTGACTCTTCATTCTACAGAACCAGCACAGGCATTTGAGGGCTGGGGCCTAACATCCCTCTCTGGTCTTTCTAGACTTTATAAAGCAGCACAGTGGCAGTGGTGTTTGGGAGGGAACTCAGATCTTCTGCTTGCATGTTTTATCCCCCCACCCCCCCATTTTGAAGCCACACTTGGCGATGCTCAGGGGTTACTCCTGGCTCTGCACTCAGGAATCACTCCTGGCAGTGCTCGGGGGACCATATGGGATGCCGGGGATCAGACTTGGGGTGGCCCCATGTAAGGCAAGTCCCCTACTGCTGTGCTATTGCTCTGGTCCCTTTGTGTGGTTCTGCCTATGGCCAAAAGCTGTTCTCACAAACCTCTGCGTGTCCACCTACCCACCATCCTGGGTCTGAAAACCACCCATTTCACCCCACAGGACAGTCAGAGACTGAACGTTAGCAAATCTGGGGTCCCAGAGCAGGGTCCCAAGTGTTGACTGCCCAGCAAGGTCCCAAGGGTCCAGGAAAGGAATGGAGGCTGGGGCCTGTCTCTGACCCGGCTGTGACCTGTCTCTGACCCTCCTCTGCCGGCTCCCAGGGTCCATCTGGGGGAGCAGCCCAGGGCTGGGTGTTGACGTGGGTCTGCTAGAATGCCCACTGGCCAGGGCAGTGCCTCGGCTGTGGGGGTGTCAGGTGGGTCCCTCGGGCATCCATGCGGATTCCTGGTGACAGCCGATACAGAGACTAGACATGACACTCACACGTGGGTCTGTCGGGTCTCCTCAAGTCCTGGCAAAGGCTCCAATATCTTTCTGCCCAGGGTGCGGGCAAGGGTACAAAGAGCCCCCGATGGGGCCAGAGATCCAGCTCTCGATGCCTGGGACTCTGTGCTGATGCCCTCCGGGGATCACTCGATCGGCCTCCCTCCTTTTCCCAGGTTTGTGTCACACCTGGTAGTCCTCCTGGATCACTCCTTCTCTGTGCTCACAGATCATCCCAGGTAGGCTCGAGGGGCCATGCAGGTGTGCCAGGGCTTGAACCCAGGTCTGACAAGTGTCCAGCCTGCTGGTAATAGCTCTATGGCCCCCAGGAGGCTACTCGTGTTTTTTTTTTAATTGAATTACCCTGAGATGCAGTTACAAAGTTGTTCATTATTGGGTTTCAGTCACCCAATGTTCCAACACTTGTCCCTTCACCAGAACACATTTCCCACCGCCAATGTGCCCAGTTTCCCTCCTGCCACCCAACGCCCCAGCCTGCCTCTATGGCAGGCACATTTCTTCTTTCTCTCTTTCATTTTGGGCATTATAGTTTGCAGTATATATGTTCATACTATTATGTGTATCCCTTGACTGACTCCCAGAACCTAGTTATTGTCCAGAGTGATCATTTCTGCCTCTTTGTCATAGTGGACTTCTCTATCCTAACTGCCCTGCCCACTCCACCCCTTGTAGCAGGCTGCCAACCTGTGCCAGTCCTCCTGGTCCTGGTTTCTCCTGTCCTTAGGTCCTAGTCCAGGAGGCCACTCTTTTGTTTTTTGGCTTTTTGCGTCATACCTGGTGATGCACAGGGGTTACTCCTGGCTCTGCACTCAGGAATTATCCCTGGTAGTGCTCAGGGGACCACATGGGATGCTGGGAATCGAACCCGGGTTGGCCGCGTGCAAGGCAAACGCCCTACCCGCTGTGCTATCACTCCAGCCCCAGGAGGCCACTCTTGATGCTGGTGCCCCCGCCCTTGAAGATGATGCCAGCAGGCCCACCCTGGTCTCCCCTATTTCCCAGGAGGTTCTCCTGCGGCCTTGAGTCCCCACGCACTGATGAGGTGGGGCCCTCAGCTCTGTTAAGTACTGGAGGTCACAAAGACCAATTGTACTGGCCCCTGTCTGCTCTCCCCATACCCGGGGACACCCCCACTTCATCAGACAAGAGGCCGAGCAGTATGTCTGGGGGACACTGAGCACTGAGCAGGGAACAGCAGGCTTGTCAGATTCTGAGCTTTACTGAAGGTGGTGATGGTGGGGACATTGAGGCAGGCTAAGGGGGATCACACCCTTAGCTCCTCAAGGTCTTAAGGCAGCAGGCAGGGTGGGGGCAGGGGTCTGCGGGAAAGCGGTGGGTGCCATCAGACCTGGGGGAGTTGGGGATGGGACCCTGAGCACTGCCATGGGTCCCCAGAGCCCACCCACCTGTGCTCAGAGGGCCTGGGGTGCCCTGCTTGATGCCAGGCTGCTATCTGAGTGCATCGGGTCCAGGATTGGGGCGGCTAGGAGCACACTGCACCCCATTCCCAGGAGACTCGCTGAGGAAGTTGGGGGCACAGTGGAGCTGCAGGTCAGGCAGGGGGCCGTGGGCTGCAGGCTGCGCTCTGATGACCCTCAGGCGGGGCCCCAGCTTTGGATCCCCTAGCTGGGAGCGCACACAGTCTGTCCTGACCGGCGTCTCAGAGGCTGTGGCACTGTGTGAGTGCCCAGAGGCAGCACATGACGGACCCACTGGAGGCCTCAGGAAAGACTTCTCTGAGGTCTCACTCCTGTTCCCCTCTGCAGCTCTGTGGAGGGCAGGGCCCTCGGATGGGGCCCTCAGGACCTTTGGTCCGGATGGGCTCCCATGGGCTAGGGCATGGGCTCTTGGGGTGCAGGTCCCACAGGCCCCCAATTTACCTGGTTAGCAGCCTGGGGTGATCTCTGGTTGTGGTGGGTGGTCTGGGGTGAGCAGTGCAGAGAGTTGGGGGGCGGCCTGAGGCTGGAAAGTGAGACCTAGTGAAGCAGGAGGGAGTGAGGAGGCAGGGCCGAGAAGGAAGTATGAGTGGGAAGCAGTGAAGGCTGGTGTGGGGCCTGGGTCTGGGCAGATGTGGTCTCAGGGGCCGGAATGCCCGAAAAGAAGTGAGGAGAGAGCGGGCCTCAAGCAGGTGGCCGGGGGGATGGGGGAAGTGGGTGGACCTTGGGGAGGGCATTATGCTTACAGAGGCACTTGGTTCTAGGGAGCCACTGGTGGTACAGCCCTGTGGGAGCTGGCGGAGTCAGTCTCCCCAGCTCACTCACGGGGACCCCTCAGGGATGTGTGGACGGCCTGTCGGGGGTGAAAGAGAAGGAAATCTTGTCCCAGAGAAGCAACTCCTGATTCTGGACCAAACACAAGCCAGGACCCAGGCCCAGAGGACGCTGTACCTGGAGGGGCTTGGCTCGGGGACCCCAGCCCTGTCTGGCAGCAGAGATTTCCGGCCCCTCAACTCTGCTGGGGGTTCCCTCCCCACTGCGTTGGAGCTGTGGCCGGGGCTGGCGGTTGTGGTCCCCAGGTTCTCCACCCTGGCCTAGACCAGGCTCTGTGTCAGGCTTTTGAAGTAGGAGCTCAGGGCCTGCAGGACGGAAGTAGACTGGGTAAGGCCCTCCGGGGCCCCCGGCAGGCTCAGGTAGCGGCTGTACCTTCTCAAGCCGCCGAGGGGGTCCTGCTGATACGTGCTCTGCAGCTCCGTGAAGTCCACGTTGCGCAGGGCCAGCACACGGGCCTCCGCCCGGGCCAGCACTTTCGCCTGCACCAGGGGCTGCAGGGACGAGAAGCAGTGCAGGTTGCCGAAGGAGTAGACGTGCCGGAACAGCCATGGCCCGGGGGCCACCTCCAGCAGGCGACACAGGTCACGCATGGTCAGCACGGAGGCCAGCGCGCTGCTCTCATTTATGGTCCGCGCCAGGTAGGTGGTCGCCAGGCTCTTGAGCTGGAAGCTCTCAGCACCCGGCACGTGCTCCCGGATGAGGGGCAGCACGGCCAGGAAGCCCGATGTGACCTCCTGCAGCTCGCCCAGCCGGTTGATGTCGTCCAGGGCGTGGAAGAAGAGCGGGAGGCTGGACCCCCACAGCTTGTAGCAGGCCAGGACGGGCCGGGGCATGGTGCGGAGGAAGCGGAGGAAGTACTCCAGGCCCACTTCCAGGGACACGGTCTTGGAGTAGACATTGAAGCTGGCCTCGGGTCGGATGAGCACCCGGAATTTGCTCTCCCCGTTCACGGCCGCCAGCTGGCTAATCTTCTGGGCTGGGCAAGAGAGAAGGGCAGGTGAAGCCTCGGGACACGGCAGGCCTGCAATGGGGCCTGGGGGACACCCCCGTGCCCGCAGGCTGCCCCCCACCCTCTGGAAGTCACGGTGGGAATGAAACCCCAGCCTCCGAGCGGGCTCTGACCGGGTCGCTGCCAGCTCGCAGCTGCGGCTCACACCTAGTGAGGCTCTCACCTAGTCCCGCTTCCCTCCCGGCCCGGCCCCCTGTCCCAGGGTGGCCCCAATAGGCAGGTTCCTACTGTCTCCCGACAGCCTCACCCACTGCACTCCAACACACGGCCCCATGTGGTTGGCATAAGCCCCCACCCACCCTGCCCCATGCGGCGGCGACTTTGCCATCACTGAGTCCCTTCAACATCCCAGGACAGACGTGGGTCTGCCAGGCCCATTTCATTCAGAGCTAGACAAGAACCTTCCCCAGAGAGCTACGTGTGCCTGTCCTGTCTTAGGGGGGCAAACGCCACTTTGGCCATCAGGGCTAATCCCACAGTAGCTGCTGCTGGGGACCTGCCAGTTTCAGACAGGGACGCCACAAGGCCAGGGAGAGTTCACAGGCCCTGTGAGAGGGGCCCATTTCCTGGGAGGAGGGGCCCTATGTTCAGGCCAGCACACGGCCCAGAGGCGTGGACACATGCCTTGCACAGGCAAGGCCCTGAGGTCACTTCCTGGCGCGCTGGCCCCAGCTCTGGGTGTAGCCCAGTGCTTCCCGCACCTCAGGGTCCGAGCAGCGCCACATTAAATGCAGGGACTCAGCACGAAACCCGTCTGAACCAGAACTGGAGGCAGCTGGAGGCCTGAGCATTGCTATGAGCCCTAAGCAAAAAGGGTTCGTAGCTGAGAGTACAGGGGTAAGGCACTTGGCTTGCACGTAGCTGACTCAAGTTGGATCCCTGGCATTCAATACGATCCCCTGAGTCCTGCCAGGAGTGATCTCTGAGCAGAGCCAGGAGTCAGCCCTGAGCACTGCTAGATGCAGCCACCCGCCCCCCGCCCCCCCACCCCAAAGAAAAAAAAAAGAAGGGGACCAGGCACACACACTATGTCTCGGGGCCACTCAGACGTGTGCAGTGAGCGCTAAGGCCGGGCCAGAACAGGGCACCCCACACCCCTCAGTTTACCAGTGAGCTCCAGAGGGACGCTGCGGTCAGAGATGAGCCTGGCAGGCCTGGCCCCCCGCCTGCTACCATCCCCGCAATCAAGGGGTATACCTGGGCACCCTGGAAACGTGGACCCCTGGGCTGTGCGGGTGGCAACTCAGAGACCGAACTACAAAGGTGGGGGTGCCCCTGAGGGACGCACTTTCGCTGTCAATCCTGAGGTCGAAGAAAACCAGTGGCCGGTCTTCTGCCTGGGGATCAGTAAGGGCCTCCTCCACGTCCTGCAGGGAGTTGGGGCCTTCCAGCTGCACGTTGCTGGACTCGCTGCTGCTCTCGTCCATGTCCCGTAAGGTCTGCAACAGACAGACATGGGTTGGGCTCAGAGGGGGGCCCCAGGGAGGGGGCAGGCGCAGGAGTGCGTGGGCACAAGTTGGAGGTGGGAGCTGGGCAGTGCAGGCCCGTCCCTGGGCGAGGGAGGTGTGACCCTACGGCGGGGGGTGGGGGGTGGGGAGTGGCATCCCGGAGTGGGGATGAGCAGGTATCCCCTGTGGAGGGGATACCCCTCTAACACTCCTTGCTCATGTGCCGGCAGCGGGCCGCATGCAGGGGTGAGGGGGTAAGAGCGTGTGAAAACATGGGAAGGGGGTGCACACGCGTGCGTGCATCCAGACAGGCGTGTGGGGGTGACTCTATACCCTGTGTAAAGGATGTGCCATGTGGAGGGGTGAGAAGGTCCTGTAAGAAGGGGTGCAGGGGTGCCAGTGTGAGAATGTGTGTGAGCACAGCGTGGAGGTGATGTAGGCAGGTAGATGGGGAAAGGCCCTGGACAATGAAACAGGTCAGCCAAGCTTCAGGGAGGAAAATTCCAAGGCTGATCCACTTTGTGGCTATGGCTCAGACCCTGAGCGGCGGACCCTCAGGAGATTGGACCCCCTCCCCATGAAGGAAATTCCTCGAATATCCTCGGACCTCTCCCTCAATCTGATTAACCTTAGTGATTCAAAGAAGACCATCACCACTCCCAACCTCCCTGATAACCTCCTCACTAACAGTCTTTTACCTAGGAAAAAGCCCCACATGAGGGCAGGTTGGAAAAACCCTATGAAAGCCCATCTTGAGCAAAGAAAGGTTGTGCGTATGCTGCCTGAGTCCATGTGCTGCTTGGGCCCACGTAGCCGAGCGCATGTGTCGCCCGCATCTCCCCTCTGGAGATGTGGACTTCCATTCTTTCGTGTCCAATGCTGGGATGTGTGTGGGGGCTCTCTCTCCGCTCTTGGAGAAGCCCGTGTTGTGTCTTGAGCCCGTTACACACACACACACACTCTCTCTCTCTCTCTCCCCCTCCACATCTTCAAAAACCCTCCAAATAAAATCTATTTACTTCGCTGCTTGTCCACTCCTGGAATTCCTTTCTGCGAAGTGAGACAAAAACCCAGCAACCCTGGGTCCTGGGTGGTGGAGGCAGATTTGGAGAAACTGACTGTCTTTTTCCTTCCCGCTTCACCCGTGGGGCCCACCGACATCAGAGGGGTGAAGTTTTGGGCAGAGGTTTGGGGCAGGGCTGAGGGAAGATGTCACTTGGAAGCCCAGCTGTCACTCTGGGCCAGGAGCCAACTGAGAGGTGGGAGAGCCACTGGGTCTCGCAGCCTGGCAGGAGAGTGCTGGGTCCAGGAGGGTGCTCCAGGCTGGCTACTGAGGTGCTGTTCTCTTGGGGACAAGGCCAGAACAAGGTCAGCACATGTGAGAGAGGCCTCGGCGTGGGTGTGGGAGGCTCCAGGGGTTGGTGAGAGGGCGGAGCTTCTCCTGAGGGAACCGGCTCAGGGTCCACACAGCAGCCAAACCGGCCCTTCAGTTGGGGGCACAGCAGGCAAGTAGCATCCACAGCAAGCAGGCTCCGGGCTGGCTCTCCGGCGAGTGATGGAGGCCTCTGTCAAGCTGGTTCTGGACACTGTCCAGGCCATCTTACCCTAAGCCCTTCTGCTCTTGGGGTGAAACAGAGAATTTCAATGTGTTGTAAGGACAATTGCACCGGAAGCTGAGTCATCAGGAGCTGTAACTGCAACTGCCAGGATTTGCCTGCATTGCGACCTCTGGCTGTGAACTGCGTCCCATAGTCCCACCCAGTCCTCTGCTTCCCCGGCTGCTGTTGGACTCTCACTAGGGACTCGTCTGGGCCAGTTGGGCTGGGGGATGTTGAGTCCCAGGGCTCTGCGACACCCTGAGGGGCTCTCCAAGGCCATCCGTGCGCCGGCATGCTCCAGCCCCTCCCTCCCAGTAAGGCACCTTCTCCTGGTTTCCTGGCCATGGCTGTCACTCGGTTCTGCCCCACAGCAGGGGGAAGGGGTGGGGGGCACTGTCCCTTCTCCTGCCAGCGCGGCGTGGTTTCCTTTCCTCTGGGGTTGGTGGGAGGGTCAGACGCCCTGGCTTGGTCCTCCCCAGGCTCCTTGTCAACAGCTACCAAGCTGCCCCTCGGCCGAGTCCTCTCTGCTGCCTACACAGCACACTGGGTTTTCTCTTCTTTCTGCTCCAGCCTGGGCTGCAGAGGCCCAGGCGGGGCTCCTGTGCTTCTCCCTGTTTCTCCTTCTGGTGGCATCTCAGCAGCCCAACTCAGTCCCAGGTGGAGGCAGGGTTCTCCCAGGGCTGAACTCCCTGCGGTCAGCTGGCTCCCACCTTCCCACCTTCCAGAGCCTCTCACGTCCTGAGTTCCTGTCCTTTTCGTCATCACGGACATGTCCTTTGCAGACCAGTGAAAGGACAGCCCTGCCCAGGGGCCAGTGGAGGGGAAGGCTGAGCTGCCGGCCAGACCAGTCTCTTTCGCCCCTCAGCCTGTAGGGGCCTTCTGGAAAGGACGGCCACTCTCTGGGCCGTCCTTTAACACACGGACACCCCGTGCTCCAGGGAACTGCACCGCCCTCCCTGTCTGATCCTGGCCACGCAGCTGCTGAGCGAGCGAGCGTCGGCACATCAAACACAGACAACACTTTTTCTGCAGACCCAAGTTTAATCGCACAGGCCGGCAGGGGGCACCTGAGACCCCAGCCTTGCAGTTCATGCCTGGACCCACCCCTCTGCCTGCGTGTGCGTGTGCGTGTGTGCAGCACAGAGAAGCCAGGAAGGAAAAAGTGAGGTGCAGGGAGAATGCGGGGAGTGGACACGGAAAGCAGTGGAGCCAGCGAGGGAGACGGGACAGAGGAAGGGAAGGTGGCGTGAGTGGACTCGAGCAATAAGGGAGGCCGCGCTCGGCAGAGGGGCTGCTCTGAGGAAGCCGATGGAACCTCCTCACCAGTCTGGGGGAGATAGCAGGGAAGTTAGCTGGTTTCTTTTTCCATTTTCTTTCCCAAGACACTTGGGCCTGCCTTAGGGGTCAGTTTAGTTACTGGGGCAGGCGAGGCAGGTGGCAGACACTGGGAAAGGCCCGTCCAAGTCTTCATTTGGCTTTTCCCCACCGTGGCCTCCAGGTGGTGCTGTAGAGACAGAGTGTGGAGAAGCGCCCTAAGTGGCCAAGGAGGGAAGGCCAGGGCAGTGGATGTCCATGGAGCCCAAGAAAGCACCTGGGCAGGGAGACGAAATCTAGGAGGCAGGGGTCTGCGTGGGTCCTGACTGGGGAGTGGCAGTGAGCTGGGCAGGGGGCAGTGTTACCACCGCAGGGGCTGGGCACCCAGATCCCCCGGGGTTATCTCAGCATGGGCTGGAAGAGTCCAGGGGGGCGGAGGGTCTTGGCCTCCCCGCCCACCTCTGATGGTCCAGGGGAGGAGAGAGATGTTGTCGCCCACGGGAGAACTGGGTCATCACGTGCAAATGAGTCTTTTGAAACCCGCATCTACGGAGCCAGGCACCTCGCCCGCCGGCTCTGAGGCGGACCCTACTCCTGGGGGCCCAGGACCGGGGTGGTCCTGGCAGGGGCCCAGTAGGAAAGTGAGATGCGGCGGTGGCGGGGGGGGGGGTGGGGTAGGGGTAGAGGTGCAGAGGGAGAGAGAAGAGGCCAAGGGATTTGACGCAAAGGTGGCAGCTGTCAAGTCATCTTGGCTAATGGTGATGTGCGTGGAGCTGTCCTCGAGCAGATGGACAGGACAGATCAGCCGCAGCCTGGAGGGCGGGCAGCTACAGAGGGAGGTTCTAGGTTTCACGGGGGGCTGCATCAGTGGGGCGGGGGAAGTGTGTGTGGAGGACCCCCCTGTGTGTTCTGTCTGGGGGCTGTGGTGACTGCAGAGGGATCTCCCAGGCCCTCCAGGGTTCTGCTGGCAGCAGGATTCAGCTGGGCAGTCACCGTGGACAGAGGCAGAGCAAAGAAAGCGTTGAGCCACCGGGTGAGACGGGAGCGTCCCCGCCGCGAGGGGCGGGAGCGGGATGGCACTGGCCTCCACACCTGGCTGGCTGGGCGGTGGGGGGCGAAGTCCCTGGGGCTGGCCTGCTGGCTGGGGGTCAGCTGACAGGCGCGCGTAGGGACACAGGCCAAGGGCAGGTTGTGGAAGCCCCGGCGACGGTACAGGGGCAACATCGTGCTCCTCCCGTCTGATGGGAAGCCCTTCCCCTGTTGGCCGGGGACCTGCTCCAGGGGGCCGGCAGGGTGGCCCCAGCTCTCCGAGCCTTGCTCGGGGGCGGGTCGGGGGGGAAGCCTAGCTGGAGGCCCGGGCATGTTGGAGACTGCAGCCGAGGGAGCGGTCAGCAGGCGGACTAGCGAGGAGGGCGCAGCGCTGGTCTCCGCAGCTCCTGCATGTTTTCCAAGAGAGCGCTCCAGACTGCAGGCTGGCGGGGAGCTCGGGGCATCCCTGGGCCTGCCCGGGTCTCCGTTCAGATGCCTCTGTCCCTGCACAGGCGACTGGTCCAGCCTCTGTGAAGGATCCTTCGGGGACAGAAGGATCCTGACTACCATCCATTCTCACGGTGGCAGGCGCAGCCTCCCAGAGCCCCAGGCCAGCTGCAGTGAAGGCCTGTCCTCCGTGCTGAGGATCAGGGCCCAAAAAAATCCCCCAGGAAACTCCCGAGAGCCAGCTGGTCCAGGAAAGAGACGGGCCTGGGAGAGGGAGCTCGCGGGCCCTATCAGAAAGAGACCGGTCGGCAGGAGGCGCTCGCGGGCCCTGCCAGAAAAGCAACACGTGGGCCCCTCTGGGTGGGCAGTGCGGGTGCAGCCTCCAGCTGGGACTCAGGCTGTTCCCAGGACACCCAAGCACCCTCCGCCTCTCCGGAAGACTCCGCACCGGCTAGCACTGGGGCAGGTAGGCGCGTGGGGACACTCACCGAGTTCTCAGTGTCGGACTCCTCGGAGCTGCAGATCAGGATGCACTCATCTGCCAGGGAGAGAGGGCAGGGGCAGTCAGGCTCTGGGGTCGCCCGCAGGCTGGGGCGGGAGACCAGGCGTTCACAATAGGTCCCTCAAAGGGGGGAAGGTGCGTTGGCCCATGTGCATGACTCTTCATCACTGCCCTCTCTCTACCAGTCCCGACACAGCCTGGACAGCAGGAGGCCTGATCGCTGCCCTGGTGTGGTCCTGGGGGGCTGTTTGACAGCCCCCCTGGGGGTTTCTGAGTTCTCAGTGCCAGCCAATGGGGGAGCAAGGCCGGCGGTCACTCTGGGACTCAGAAGGAAAATGCAGCCGAAGGCCGCTTGAAGTCAACTCAGGAAGAACTATGTAGAATGTTCCAGAATCCTCTAGGTTGACTTCGCCCTCACAAACAAGACCTCCCTATGTCCATAAAATGAACCTCAGATCAATGAAGTCCCTGAGGTGGGTGGCCGGGGCAGCAAGCCAGGGATGGATACCAGTAGGTATGGACTTGACCCAAATCCTCTCTGGGTGGGTGAGGTAGCCTCTGGACAGTGGCGCAGAACTGGCACACCAGCTCCAGCCAAACCCACAGAAACCCCAGGCACCTCAGCCCCGTCACCCCAGCACGTCCCTGCCCCAGAGGGCAGCAAGCAGGTCCCAACCTCTGCTCCCTACCCGCCTCCTTAGGGATGTCATCCTGGTGGTTGATGTGGAGGACCAAGTCCTCGTCTTCCCCAGGGGGCTCCTCCGGGCAGGGCGGGGAGACCGCCTGGGAGGTGCTAGGCCCCGGCTGCTCGGCCATGCTGGGCGCCAGCTTCGCTTCCCCGTCCTCCTCCGACTGCAGCCTCATCATCTTCCTGGGGCTCTCCGTCTGGCAGGCCTTTCTCTTCTGGGGCGTGGCTTCTAGGCGGTCCTCCTGGGAGCACAGGGCGGGGTCAGAGTCTGGGGGTGCAGAGACCCAGTCCTGCAGGCCAAGCGCCTATGCCAGCCACTGTAGCCACCAGCTGGGCATGGCCACAGAAGGGGCCAGTCAAGGGCAAGGGAGGGGGCGGGAGAGGTGCTGAGGCGGCCTGGACCCCTGCCTGCCCACTCCTCACCTCTCCACATGCGGCGTCTCTGATGGAGTAGGCGTGCACGGGCACCGGGTGGGCTCCAGGCATTGGCTGAACCACAGCTTCGGGCTGGGCCTGAGCTGGGCCTGGGTCCTGGACCTCAGCCCCCTGCACCAAGAAAGCAGAGTCAGAGAGGACTGGGCAGCAGACGGGGTCCACTGCAGCCGAGACCCTTCCCCCACAGCCCCCATGTCTCTGCCACCTCCTGACCCGCTTCCTGGACAAGAATGTCCCCCCTCCCCCAGGGGGGATGGATTCTCCAGGAGTCGAGGGAGATGTAACCAGGCCCTGGAGGTCAGGAGAAGGGCTGGGGAGGTCCCCAGGGGTTCTCTGTGGCACTGTGGCCTGATGTGTGGGATGTGTGGTCCAGCGGGGCCTCCTGCCTTTGCTCCAGCCCCCCCCAGTACATCAAACTCCACGCACTTCCAGTGGTTGACCGTCTACCAGGAGCCGCCATCCATCCTCAGGATTCCTCCCCAGCCAATGAAATGACCAGACTAGTCCCTCCTGCATGGCAGAGGGTATGGGCAGGTCCATCCATTCTGGCAAAACAGCAGGAAATCCCCCCCCCCCCCCATCCTCCTGACTCACACAGTGGCCTGGGCTGGAAAGGCAGGGAAAGCCCAGCACAGAGGCACCAGAAGCCCACCCGTGCTCTCAGTTGGCCCAGGAGCTCCCTCGACACTTGCTTTAAGGCACTGACTTCCCTCTGAGCTTCCGTCTCATCTCCTTTACAAAACGAGAGAAATGCTGAATCTGGGTCTCAGGCTAGAAGGGAGAGAATGCAGGCTCGCTCCCAGCCTCTGGCCAATGATGTTCCACACCAGTGTGTCTACACTACAGTCTGTGACTTGCTAGCTGACCATGAAAGCCGTCTATGCAGACTGGCCAGCGCATACCACAGAACGGAAAAGAAAGGCTTCCACCCTGTGTGATACGTGTGATTTGTTTTACAAAACCTGATGTGGCCGAAAGTATGGGTGTGTGCATGGGTATATCCTGTTGTTTAGAAGAAAAAAAGAATTAAAAAAAAAAAACGGGGCCACACTTGGCAGTGCTGGGGCTTCAGAGTGTGCCGTGTGCAAGGCCCTAGCCCTAGCCCCTGCACTTGGTTCTGAGGTTGGAAGGTCCCGCCCAATCCCTTTGCATCTGCTCCACCAATTATGTGTGTAAATGGCTTGTTCCACTGGGCTGGTTCCCCTCTCTGTCCCTGACACACTGCCTCACACCAGGTTACTGAGCAGTGGACACACAGGAGGGGTCAGAGAGAAAAACTCACGGTGTCTGGTCTTGGGCATGGAGTTGCTTCCATCTATTAAAGCACTATCACATCGTTACAAAAACACCCAGGAGGAACAGGAAGAGGCTGGTGGGCTTCCACCCACCCCAGACCCCTGGCTGGGCCTGCAGGTGGGTTCTCTCCTCTCCTCCAACCAGGTACACAGGTGCAAAAAAAAAAATCAGTGAGCACTTTGGGTGGGCGGGAGGGGCAGTGTTGGGGCTCTAAGCAGCACAGCAGCCTTCCTGGCACAGGCAAAGGGCCTGACTTGCCTCTGCAGCCGCCAAACCTGCCAAACGGGCCAAACCTGCTGGACTGTCAGCCCAACCTGGGAAAAGTGAAAGTGAGAGACTTCAAGAAAGAGCAAGAAATGCCCAAGGCCAAACTGTTCAGTGGAGGGAAGAGTAAAGTCATACCCAAAGGCCAGACTAAATGTCTCAGGGCACTCTGCAGTTACTACAGTCAGTGCTCTTGGGTTTCCTGCTAGCATTGTTTGCAAAGCCAAAACCACCTCTATATGCACAGAAAGGGGCCAGGCTTAGTATGGCAGGTCCCATCCACTCAAACGTCCATTCTGGGGCCAGAGAGATTGTAGGCAGCTTGCCTGGCATGCTGGGGTCACACTTGAGCACAGAGCCAGAAAGAGTGCCTGAGCACTGCTTGGTGTGGTCCCAACCAACCTGAGCCTTAAAGAGTTAGATTAAAAAAAGCATCAGGATGCTTGCCCACAGGGTAAAATTTCTGGACTACTTTCTCCATCCAAAAACTCGGCACAAGACCACGCATAAAGGGCATTATGCTATCCCTGTGCCAAAAAGTAGAATGGAAAGCAAATGTCGATAACCATGCATGCGTTAAGAACTTCTGGAAGGCTGTGTAAGAAATTAATAAAGAGGGGCCAGAGCAAGAGACAGCAAGGAGGACATGTGTGGGCCCTGCACACAGCCCACCCCGGTTCTATCCCTGGCATCCCACATGGTCTCCCCACTCCTCCACGCCATTCCCTGTGCACTGTCAGGAGAAAACTCCTGAGTGCAGAGCCAGGAGTAACCCCTCAGCAGCACTGGATATGACCCCCCAAAGAAACAATTATTAAAGAGAGATGTCTGGTCAATAGAACTGGAGAGAAGAGGAGTGAGACCATGAGATACTTTTCACTTTCCAGCTGTTATTTCTGACCACTCAATAGTATGGAGGGAGGGGGAGATCACTTTCACTTTTTAAGCTCTGTCCATGGGGATGCAGGATCTGAGAAGCTTGGTTTCTAAGTCCTGCCACCAGCTTGCTGCGGGGCCTTGGTCAAGCCGTACCCTCTCCGGAGAGGGCCCTCCACTCCAGGCTCTTTTCTAGTTCTCAGGATCTAAGTGCTTCCTCCTCCAGGAAGCCTTTCCTACTTGCAGTGATCTTTGTCTTCAATTGATGGGCTTGCTAACTGATGGCCCCTACCAGAAGTGTTGATCTCCAGGAGGACGGGTCGGCCCTGGGTCCAGAGCCTTAACGGGCAGGCACATGCACACCTGATGCCCAGGACTGGGAGCCCAGACACCCAGTCTGTAAAGGAGCTGAGGAAGTGTATCCTGGGGCAGAGAAGTCAGGCATGCCCGCACTCAGGAGGGCCAGGCAAAAGGGTGCCATCCCAGCATCGCATCCCTGCCCACTCCATGCATCCTCCTCAGCCTGAAAGCCCTAAGCCAGCCAGCCAGAGACCAGAGAAGCTTCTCGAATGAACATGCTTCCTGGGGCTGTGGACTAGGCAGTAGTGATGGGGAACCGGGACAGGAGAGAGGTGAGGGGAGGGGCATGAGACAGTGGTGAGGGGGATGGGGCAGGGGTGAGGGGATGAGACATTGGTGAAGGAGACAGGACAGCAGTAAGGGGGATGGGACAGTGGAGGGGGGATGGAACAGTGAGAGAGGGACAGGATAACTTCAACTCCTGGCACCACACAGTTCCCCCGAGGCAAGGTGCAGTTCTAGAGCCCCCGGGCACCCCAGGGTGTCCTGGGAGTCCTGGGCACTGCAGATACTGATCCACAGGCTTGGTTGGTCAGAATCACCGTGGCACCCTGGGGGTTCCTGAGCATCCGTTGGGAGGACTTTCTCCCCCCAAAAGGAATGGCTGCACTTCCTGCCCCTGAGAGCTGACAGCCAAGCTTGGGTGCTGCAGAGAGAAGGCCTGAGGGCGGGAGGGCACCTGCCCGACACAGGCGAGCTGGGAGTCACAGCAGAGCCCAGCTTGCTCCAGGGCTGACTCCTGGCCCCACTGTCCATTCTCTGCAGACGCCCATGTGCAGGCAGAGAAGGGCCAGAGCTATCTGCTACCTGTGTCACCCCCTCCACTCCTGTCCAGCCTAGGTCTAATGCCTCCTGAGTCACACTGTCTGGGGAGCCCAGCAGAGCCACCACTGGGTGGCTGGGCTCACCCCTCCCTCTCCCGCCAAAAGATCCATCTGGACACTTTTCAATGTCCAGAGCATTCTGGGTGTTCTCCCTACTCCGCCACCTGCAGGGGTGGCTAACCCCAGTCCCCCACCTTGCCCCACCCTGCCGCACCCTGAACCACTTCCCCTCCCCTGCACCTCAAACCCAGCTCACCGAGTCAACATCAGAAGTCGGGGGCGTGCTGGCAGGCTGTGGGCTGGCTCTCTCAAGCGGAGGTAAATCTGGAGAGGACAGAGAATGCCACGGGTAGGTCAGGGACATTCCTGGCGACAGGTGCCTTGGCCAAAACATCATCTCCAGAGATCCCGGCAGAAGAGTGCAGTGTCAGGGGCTGACCGCTGTTAGGAAGTTTCCGGGTGCAGCGGCAGTGAGCCCAGCCTTTAGGGAGTTGCTGTTTTCAGCCCAAATGCACCTGTCTCCTCTGAGCTTCTGGCCAAATGTGCTGACACTCTCACACCCTGACACCCCTCGCACTCCTGCAGGCAGCAAAGGACACATTGACTTACTCTGTGGTTTGATGAATGTTACAAACTGCAGCACCACATCAACGTGTTACTTTGCTGATGTTACACTGCACAGAAATCTCATGCTTTAGCTCCTTCTTCTGCCCCTGCCCTGCAGGGCATCATTTCACTGCCTCGGTGGTCCAGGGCTCAGGACACGCATCCCAGTGCAGAGATTTCAGAACACGGTTAGTCTCCTGCTCAGCCTGGTCCCCCTCTTTGCATGTGCTCCTCTCTCCATCCCCCAACTCCATCTCCCTTGCAAACGCTCCTGATGCTTCTACCACACCTGTGTTGGAATGGGAGGGGCCGGCAGTGCCTCGGCTCTCCGGATCTTCCCTCCCAGTTACATAGGGCACCGATCTGCCTGTGTTTCTCTGACATCTAAAGCCAGGCAGGACACACAGAGCTGGGCAGTGGGTCCAAGTGGCAACTTATCCGGGGACCAGAGGACTGGCCCCATTTTGCTGCAGTTTGGACCAAGTACCCAATACCTTAGTGTGTGTGTGTGTGTGTGTGTGTGGTTAGGGAGAAAAGTTACCTGAACACTGCCAGGCTAAGAGAACTGGTTCCCTTGAGGGTACACTGACACTTTCATGGCCCAGTAGCTTTCTAAATGGCCCCAAGCAAATCCTTGAGGGTCTTGCAAATAAGTTGGTCAAATGCGACCTCGCTGGGTGCCAGCACCCCATCCCACGGCCTTGAACCAGGATGCAATCGAACTGGAGGCTTCAAACGTACCCTAATTTCCCTTCTTGTCATGAGACAACGACCTTTCTGTTCTGTCTCCTGTAGATAGGACGGGGCAGTAGTTAGACACGAGCCTGTCCATGGCCAACAAGCTGGCCAGGCAGGTGGCACCAAGGGGACTTACCTGCGCCTTGAGTGATGCCTGAGACCAGGTCCTGCAACCGCTCCTTGACCTCAGCGAAGCCATTCACGCACACAGTGGCTTCTGTGCTCTGGGGCTCCTCCTCTTTCAGGCGGCAGAGCGCCTGGCGGAGGAAGCCGTGCATGTCTAGCACCTCCTGGTCCGATGCGTAGCACCTCATCCTCCGGACCAGCACGCTGCCCGTGCGGATGCGCTGCAGCACGGCGTCCAGATGCTGCAGCCGGCCGGCCACCGCGTCGTAGTCGCGCTGGTAGCTCTGATTCACCGCCTCCAGCAGCGAGTGCTCCTGCTCCCGGACGTAGGCCAGCACCTGGCTGATGCGCGAGTGGATCAGCTTCTCCATGTCCGTGCGCACTTGGCCCAGCTGACTGACCGCGGTGCTCATCTGGGCCTGCGCCGCCTTGAAGGCCACCTCCTGCTCCTGTAACTCCTGCGTCATGGAGTCCAGCTCGTCCTGCCGCTGTTCGATCTCCTCGCTGATGTCACACCTGAGGTCTTTGTGGGCGTCGCCGTCCAGGATCACGCACGAGCAGCACAGCGCCTTGGCGCAGCCCCTGCAGTAGATGCTGCGGGCACACAAGGCCAGCCTGGTTTAGGGCTCTCCGGTGTCTGCAACCCCCTCCCCTGCCACTACCACCTTTAAAATATTTTCCCATTACTTTCCGATCCCCCAAGTGACATTTTGAATCATGGATGTTTCTTGGTTCATGTTTATTCCAATCTGGTGTTTGTGGTGACAGTCCCAACTACCAGAAAGCATTAGAAGGTTAAAATTGCGATGCTGGGGAGCAGGAGTGATAGCACGGCAGGTGAGGCGCCTGCCTGGCATGGGGTGTGTGTGCGGGGGGAGACCGGGATTCAATCCCTGGCATCCGCTATGGTTTGCTGAACACCACCAGGAGTGATTGCAGAGTGAAGAGCCAGGATTAACCCTGAGCATTGCTGGATGTGACCCAAAAACCAAAACCAAACCCCAAACCGAAATGTGATGCCAGGGGACAGCACGAGAGTTCAGCAGGTTGACCCAGGTTTGACCTCCAGCACCTCATACAGTCCCCTGAGCACCATCAGGATTGATCCCTAAGCACGGAACTGGGGGTAGGCCTGAACACAATTGGATGTGGCATTACAATTTTTTTTTTTTTAACTAAAACACATACAAGAGCACAGCGGTAGGGCGTCTGCCTTGCATGCAGCCGGCCCGGCAGAGCCGAGTTCGATTCCTCCGCCCCTCTCGGAGAGCCCGGCAAGCTACCGAGAGTATCTCGCCTGCACGGCAGAGCCTGGCAAGCCACCCGTGACGTATTCGATATGCCAGACACAGTAACAACAAAGTCTCCAATGGAGACGTTACTGGGCCCGCTCGAGCAAATCGATGATCAAGGGGAGGGCCTTTGCTTTACTTACTTACTAAAACCTTTACTTACTAAAACACACACACACACACACACACACACACACACACACACACACACACAATGCCAGTAAGAGTTGCCTGCCTGAGGCCATAAGATTATAATCTTGAAAGGAGTTTCAGGACAGCTGGTGCTGCAGTTTTACTAAGCCAACCTGCATGTACAGGATATATAGTCTAAGTCCCACGACAGTTCATTTCCCGTCTTAGACCCTAGGCAAGTGGGCTTACAGAAGCAGAAGTGAGTCAAATCAATGCTATTTTGACTTCTATTATTTCAAAGCTAAAAAAACATACGCCTTGGGCAGGGGCCACAGATAAAACCACAGATAGGGCGGTTGCCTTGCACAACAGCAAGGTTGTGGAGTGAGCACGGGAGCAGCCCCAGCCTGCCCTGCCTCCAGCACAGCTGGGTATGGCCAGATAAAAGAAAAACAGTTACACCAAGGAGGGAAATTTGTGTCCAAAACAAAAGCAAAGGGGCCCAACCTGGGTTCCATCCCCAGCATCCTATATGGTCCCTGCCCCCAGCACCACCAGGAATAATTCCTGAGTGCAGAGCCAGTATCATCACTGGGAAAGAAAGGAAAAAAAAAAAGAAATTGAGGTAATTAGCTAGAGGGCAGCATCAAAAGGGCCCCCGTCAGCCACGCCCCCTGACAGCAGTAAAGCTTTTAAATGCAAAGGATTCCTAGCACTTGGGAGACCCCCTGGGGAAATGAAGACAGGAGAGGTGGTCCCGGCAGTGCCTGGGCTACTCTCAGGAAGTGAGGGCTGGAGAGCCACAACAGGTTGGGGCTCTGGATACTGGAGCCCCAGATTAGGCCCTGAAGCATTTCAGGCAGCAAACCCTGAGCTAGGAGCAGCTCCCAAGCACTGTCCAACTGCTCCATGGTTGAGAGGTGGCAGCAGGAACTCCTGTCTCAGAGGTACTGAAAATCCAAGAGAAACAGCCCAAGGACAGGGCATGGAAAGAGGAGGAGCCCGAGGGATGGTGCAAGGAGTTGAGGCTCTTGCCTTGCAAACGGTTTACCACAGTTGATGCCCGGCACAATGTAGAGTTCCCCCAAGTGCTGCCAGGAGTCACTCCTGAGCACTGTCAGTAACTCCTGAGTACTACAGCGTGTGGCCCAAATGCACCCAAATCCCCCAAAGAAGATGAAAGAGCAAGCCTGGTCTATTTCACGCTGTGCACTCTGGTTGGATGCTGGCCCACACCCAAGAAAACATGGAAAGTCTATGATTTCCTCCCTTTGTCTCTGTGTAGGTGGACATGGGCTTGGTGGCTGGCGTTCTCTAGAGTGACACTTCTCATTCAGGAGGAACCAGACTGACCTTCCTGCTCTCCTTCAGCACGTGGGACTGTTATTCAAAGGCCACCCTAGACAGGGGTCCTGGGGCATTCCTCCAACTAGGAGACCTTATTGATTCTACTTCATTTGCTTTCAAAGCCAAAGTAATTTAGGCAGGGAGGTACATAGGGAAGGGCCCATAAGTCAATGGAATTCCCAGGAAGTAATAAAACCAATAGCCCTAAGGCCCTCAGAACCCACCTTGTGAGCATGGGAGCTAAGGCCTGATAAGGTTTTGCCACTGTCCCTCTCCACCCAAAAACTCCAGCAGAAACAAAGGCTAAGGAAAGGAATTTAGAAGAGGACCATCAATCACTTTGCAACCACCCTAGCAAAAACTCTTACATAGCTAGAAAGCCCACGTGGGGCACCTATAAAAGCCACCTTGAACAAAGGAAGCACGTGCTTATGCTGCTGAATCCATGTACTACTTGTGCCCACATGGCAGAGCACATGTGTTCCCCAAGCACAAGTGTCTGGAGATGTGTCTCTCCGCCTTTGGAGAAGCCCGTGTTCTCCCTGAAGTGTGTTACTCTCTCTCCCTTTGCTCTCCCTCTTTCCCCTTCCTAAAAGTCTCCACATAAAACCCATTTTTACTTCACTACTCATCTACTCCTGAAATGCTTTTCTGTGAGACAGGAAAAAGTACCTGGAAACCCTGGGTAAGACCTAGGACTGACTTTCCTTTCCTACAAAGAGCAATTCCCATGCCAGCCTGAGTCCGTGGCTCCCCACTGGTGGTGGGGGTCAACTCCAGAGCTGAGAAGCTCAAGCAGATGTCAGGTGTGGCTGCACGGCCACCCGATCAGGCTGGTGGGGCTTGGGCCCGTGCAGGACAGGGGCTCATCCACAGATTCTATCAGTCCTAGCCTTCCCAGTCAGTCCCGTGGCAGCCGAGGTGGATGGGGAGAAAGTGGCCATCTCTCTCCTCTCTGCCTCACGTAAGGCACCCGTGGGCCACTGTGCAGGACGTGGCCGTGCAGGACGTGGCCGTGACGGGGCTGGGATGCAGAGTTGGCGCGTCTCTCCTTCGGGCCGGTCCAGAGACACATCAGCAGCGCAGACAGCGGCACATACTGAAGCGATGTGGCTATGCCTCTCTGAGAGCAGGTGCAGCACAGCTGACCCTGGGTGCACAAGGTCTGACCACCACCAAGCCTGCATTTCAGACGGCACCTTAGTGAGGCAAGCAAGCTCGAGCAGCTCCATTCTGTTCTCCACGAGTCTGTTGCTTAGACCCTCATACTCCCCCCTGCCCCGTGGCCTTTGCCCAGTTTCTCAAGACTAAGGGCTGTTTTCATGCACTGTTAAATGGACAGGAACCCCGGGCCCCCGAGGATGTCCCGAAAGGCTGGCCTATAGATCCAGGACACAAATGATGCTTCATGATCTCCCCTCACATTTTCACAAGGAACCAACCCTTGTCCCCGCTGTAGTTCAAGAAATCACCGGTGCTGTTGGCTGATTGGGAGACTCAAACCCCTTCTCTCTCTCCCCGACACATCACTTGTTTCTGTTTGAACCTGTTTTCCCAGCCAGCCCTATAGAAGCTCCTCGTTCTGGTCTAAGAGTAAGACAGTGTTTCAGAACGAGAATCCACCAGCCTCCAAGGCTGCCACCATCTGAATAAACCTGTTTTTTCTCGCATCAACTTTCGCTGGAGCGATAGCACAGTGGTAGGGCGTTTGCCTTGCGTGCAGCCAGCCCGGCCGAGCCGGGTTCGATTTGTCTGCCCCTCTCGGAGAGCCTGGCAAGCTATCGAGTGCGGCAAAGCCTGGCAAGCTACCCGCGATGTATTCTATATGCCAAACACAGTAAAAACTGTGTTAGTATATAATATAATATATTATATATTATATTATATATGCCAAACACAGTAACAACAAGTCTCAAAATGGAGACGTTACTGGGCTCCCTAGAGCAAATCGATGAACAACAGGACAGTGTTTGTTTTGTTTGTGACAACTTGACAACTTTTGTCTATCCCTATTGGCTTTCCAATGGCAACTAAGTCTCAAGAAACACAGGAAAGGACCCTAAAGTTATTTTCTCTTTCTCCTTCCTCCCTCCCTCCCTCCCTCCTTCCCTCTCTTCCCCTCCCCCTTACTGTTTACTCCTTCCCTCCCTCCCTCCCTCCCTCCCTCCCTCTCTCCCTCCCGTCCTCCTTTCCTCTCCTCCCCTCCCCTTACTGTTCCCTCCCTCCTTCCCTTCCTTCCTTTCCTGTTCTGGGAATCAATATAATCTCAGGAATCGCACCAGAGAGTAGTGGCAAAAAGAAACCCAGGCTTCACAAATGTAAGGCCTGTGATTTACCACGGAATCACAGCCCCAGGTCTTATGATTTTCTTAACAACACTTCTTTTCCAGGTCAGTTTATCATAAGAAAACAATAAACAGTACATATAACATGCAAAGTATGTGTTGACTCTTATTAGTAATCATCAAAAGCAGGCTATTAATAAAATCTGGGGGGGGGGGGTGTCAAAGGCTGTATGTTAATTTTTTAGTATACTGAGGCCAGCAGCCCTAACCTCCACATTCTTCAAGTGTCAACTGAAAGTTGAAGGACAAATAAAGGTTTTAGCTTCACATAAATTCTACTTTAGAGGGGATTCCATTTGGGAAACAAAATTAGATCATCTAGATAGTCATGGAGTTTTAGAATAACAAACTAGAATGATATAGCATTGATATAGCAGTGAGCACAAATACAATCCAAACTTTTTTGGCTAGTAAATGTTGCCAGATAATGAGACAAAGCTTAGTTAGGACAGAGATAAGCAGGACAAAGGAAGCAGAG